ATGGGAGCCCAGAAACTTGGGGTCTGTTTCTCTTCCCTCACCCGGCGTTGCACCCCGGGGCAGCATCTGTCGGCTCTGTGGATGCCTCCATGAGTGTGGTTTTTCTTAGGCATCCCTTCAGTTTCCCCGTTTGTATGTTGTATGTCTCCTCTCGTTTCACTTTTAGCCCCCCACACAATCGTTTTTCTCCAGGTCTCTTTTGTGCTAACCCCCTTTGTGGGGACTAGGAGATGGCATTTAGTTTTCTTGGGGAAATCAGCAGAAACATGACTGTAAGTAGGCACCCAGAGAAATGCAAGAGCAAAACAAGCATATGTGATGCTGTCCCATGGCATATTCCAGCCTCCCAACTGTTCTCAGCTGGGGTACTTTCTAAGCTGGACATGGTTTCTGTGTGTTTAGTAGTCTTTGGTTGTTTGTCCTCCACAAATGTGTCCCTCTTCTCTTGAATCTGTGTAAACTCTTCATTTACAGAACATTCTTTGGGTAGGAGTGGTCTACACAAAGGTGATGTGCGATGAACTGGTTCCTTGTAGCCTGACTCACCGGGTTTGTTTGATAACTTCTTGTTCCAGTATTAGAAAAGAAGGTGAATCACTGCTCTCTATTCAGCCTGTTTGCGCATTTCACTAACTTGTAGACCTCTGGCATGTTTCTGTTGGTCATCCACTTTTCCAGACTGAGACATCCTCAACTTGCTTGCTTGTATGGGAGCCATTGCACACCTTGGATCATCCTCATGGCCCTTCTCTGAACATTTCCCAGCTCTATCTTATCCTTCTTTAGATGAGAGGACAAGAATTGCAGACAGTGGTCAATTTGCAGGCGAAAAATGGATTAATATAGATTCACACAGGAGCAATGAATTATGCTTTTCTGCAATAGATACACAAAAATAAGTGGAACGCTTGTTGTCTGAGTTGAAAAAAATATACTGGGAACTTAGAGGGAAGTAGAAAGAGCTCTCAGATGAGAAATGGCTTGCTGGATAGAGAGGTACTAGAGGCTGTGTCATCAATTCAAAATCCTAGATTATTTTTAGTCGTCACCTTGTTTGACTTTCATTTCACCCCATTTAAAGGATTCATAGAAGTGGAAACAGCATTTTTCTTGTTTGAGGCAGCTACAGAAGAAACAGAAGTAGCATACTTGAATCTTTCTTTATTATTGCTTTGGGGGGGGGAAATCTGTTGAGCAGTCTTCAAAACCAAGGTGAAGATCATTTGCCGACAGAGATGTAGTTGTTTCAGAATTAGAATTTTAAATTGTTCTTTCTTTGGGAGTTTTCTATTACTGCTGCTAACTCTAGATTTTATAAATGTGTTACGCTTCTAATGTGGATCACTTACCTGCCAGAAAAACGAAATAAATGCTTTTTCCTCCAGTGTTCTCACTGGTCATATTATTTTGGTCATAACTAGGATGACAAGGGCAGACAGTCATCTTTCCAAGCACATATCTGCCCATTCTGGTGATGTAATTTTTTTCCCCTCATTTTATTTTGTGTGGTACAAGTGATTTTTAATTGCAGTGCATTCGGTGTTTGCGTTGCTGATTAACTTAATATACATGACATGAAGAGATACTGGTGTGTATTTCATTTTGGATTGACATAATGATAAATGTGATATTGAACGCCCTAACCTTCTTTTGTTTAATACCTTTCCAATTCTTGTCTTGTTTAAGAAGGTAGATGTTTTTTGTTCATTCCATGAAAAATGTTACCATTGAGGTCTTGGTTTGCTCAGAATAATTCATAAATTGCTTTGAAAATCCTGTTAAAACACAAATACAGTTGTGCTGATGCAGGCAGACACCACTTTAAAGGTTTATTTATATTACTATCTCTAGTTTCTAACTTTTAAAGCTAATAGTTGGGAGTTAAAAGTAGACTGATTTAGACTTGAAGTAATATACAACCAGAGTGATTAAAGGCTTTACTGTGGGATGTGAAGATTGACACTTCAAGTTTGAAGTTGAACAGCTTTATGAAAGAGCTGGTTTAAGTCCAGAGCAAATCAGCGGCTACAAAATTTCAAGCAACGTTGGACAGTAGATCAAACCGGATAGCCAAAAATTCTGGAGCATGAGTTACAGTTAAACCTTTTCATCACACATGGATGTAATGTTTAATATAGTAATTATAACAGATTTTTTGCAATGACTCCTTTTGTATGGAGACTTGCACCCTGTGAATTAGCCTCATTGCCTTTCAGACTCTAAAATAAATGAGCCAGGGCTTCAAACTCCCATTGTTTACAGAAAACTTAACAGAAGCTGAAGAAGCCTTCAGTCTTGTGATGCGATCTATGTGGCCTAGTAGACTGGGTTTTTTAATTATATGTTAGACTAAAAATTCATAAATTTGCTTAGTTCCAGTAGATCTGGAAGCAGGAAAAAAGTGATATTATATTTACTTTATGAAAGCTTTCACCATATGAATAACAGGCAGCTCAATTTAAAAGTAATGGACTAGCCCAATTTTTGTATTACAGTAATGTGCCTGGTACACTACTGTACTATAGCAGCGTAACGCCAGGATGAGAGTAGAATGAAATTGGCACCAATTTCTCCCAGTGTCTCTATCAGCTTATCTAAAATACTGCTTTCCTTCATTTGTGTAATATGCTCACCACAGAATAAACCAGTTAGCTTCCAGTTTGGGTTCTGGGTAATCCCAGAGTATAGCCTCAAGAGAAAACTATTGGATTTTCTAAGGAATGACATAGGAATTGATTTCTGTGTTGTTATATTGTTATTTTAGTTAGGCTTAGGAAATACTTTAATTGAGTCTTTTTGTCGAATATATCTGCTGTGGGATTGAATCAGTAGCAATAACTGGCTGTTACCTGCTGCTGTGTGGATTTCTCACAGTGTGGTTTTAGCTATTGTGTTGCAATAACTTCAAAAAAATGTCTTCAGGGGCAGCAGACCTGCGACAGAGAAAGAAGCAAAACTGCACAGAATCTGACAAAATGGCTCCAGAGGAGAGAAACAAAGAAAACTCAAAGCTGGGAAGATCGCCAAAATGTAAGCTACAGAATTTTTAGCCAACTACTGATTTTTTTTTTTTTCATTATTCTTTTACGTTTTATGGGAAGATATTTGTAGCGCAGTAATTTATAACAGGCTTATTTTGAATTAGGTTTTTGAATGTTTCAAGAAAAAAAAGGCATGCACATTAGAATTCTTTAATAATGACATTTTATGTATTGCAGAGTAAAATGGTAGTCCTGGATTGTTTCAGGTTGGGGCAGAGAGAGGAAGGGGGAGAGGCAGAGGGGTTAAGAATCTTGCTGTTGTTACTATTTGAGTACAAAAAACTATTTTAATTGCATCTGGAATGATCTTTCGGTTGAGAAGCTGAAAGGCACGAAGTAATGGTACTGAAACAAGAACAGACAAAAAGTCCTTACAGCTTTTCAAGAAACAGAACTAAAACCAGGTGTAATTTTAGGCAACCGCTCACTAAGCTACCAAAAACTTTTATATCAAAAGCGCATACTAACTTGAAGGAGCTACGGGTGAAGCAGACACCCATCATGTGAGTTTGGTAAAACTCAAGTTAGTTCCTTCCTCTTATATTTGAAAACAGAACAGAGAATAGAATGTCTCAGTATTGATGTTAGATGTGGTATTGCCACGTCTTTCTGTTAACATCTTTAAGAAGTTTGTGGTGTTTTGGGTAAAATGTAGAGTTCGCTTTGTTTGTTTGGAAGACACTTTTCCTTCTTGGAATACCTTTGAAAATGAAGCTTACTAGAATGGAGAGAAATTTGCAGTGTAGTGTGTGAGTATTTTATCTGAGTCCTATGAAGCGATGGTAACAACTGGGAAAGAAAACTCTGCGGGACAGGAATAACAAATCAGTTCTCGATGTATCTGTGTTGCTGATGGTGTGTGATAATTCTGATGCCAATAAGTTTACTTGCTGTTCAGAAGTGAGTCATATTTAGGGCATACTGTTTGTTTCTAAGTTGTCTGGACTATTTTAGCTTTTTCACTGTCCCTTTTCAGATATGTTAATTCAGCGTTTTGCGAAACTTTTCTTTGGCTGTCTTGCGGCAGTCACTAGTGGAATGATGTATGCTGTGTACCTCTCAACATACCATGAACGGAAATTCTGGTTTTCCAGCAGGCAGGTAAAGAAAAAAGTTAAACTACTGAAACAAAAGCCAGATTGTGTCCTTGAAATCAAAGCTGATCCATGTCAGGTTGGAACTACTTGCTTGCAGAATCCCATGTCATTCTAGTCAGGCCTCTGTCTTTGATATAGTCTCTTTTTTTATTTCTTTCTTTCTTTTTTTTTCCCAGGTGTTTCTCCTACTAACAGTAGTCTTGTCTTGTCATGCTTTTATGTGTTTTTCCATGCCACCCTTTATTATTGAAATACCCTTCTAAAATTTGGAGAAAAAACTGAAGCATACTGGGATTGCATAAGCTAAACAACAGGAATGTATGTTTTTGGTTTTTTTTTTTTTTTTTTAAGAACAGTATTATTTAGTGAAGTATGGAAAGTTGAATGAAATTCAGGTTTGTGAATATGAAAGGATCCTGTGGATCTTGTGCTGACTTACGATGTGGATTTGAGTTGCTCTGATTCCGAGCGTGTTTGCGAAGTTATAGAGAGCATTATATACCTGACAGGTGCTGTGAAGATTAATGTTTTGTGGAATACTTTGAAGATATACAGTGGAGTCATAACTGTGTGCTGTATTACAAAACCAGTCTATCTGAAAATATATAGTATTCTATGGGAAGAGATTGCAGGCGGTGAATATATATTTTTTTTTCCCTAGGAACTTGAACGAGAAATTACATTTCAGGGTGACAGCGCCATTTATTACTCATTCTATAAAGAACTGTTAAAGGCTCCTTCCTTTGAAAGAGGTACAAAACCCGTTTGTTTTATTAACCTTGAAAAGTCCTGTTCCTTTTGGAGACAGTAAAAAACTCCTGCAGACTGAAGAGACTGATTTTATACTCTTATATAGGTATATCTGTCAGATTAATTAAAAACTGTACGCTGACCTAACTTTTCAGTGCCTTTTAAAAAACAGTATTTAACTATCCTGTATTCCAGTGGATTGCCTTTAATCAACCCTCTGGAACAGGATTAATATTACTCTCATATTGCCCCATATGGAAGTTATCATTAGGTTTGCCTATGCTACATAGGGGATTTTTTGCCATGTAAGTATAATTGATCTTTAATTTGGGAATGGGGGATGGAAATGACTGTTTTCCATACTCTGTCAGAAGATGGAACAGTTTCTGTCAAGAGTTGATCTGCTCAATCCTGTCCCTGCCGGAGGTTTCTACCCCTGTCAGCTATGATGAATAGATGTTGATAAGCACTGAGCAATGGGGACTGAAACCAACAGGAAGGAGAACAAACTGGGTGGTAATGGTCTCTCCTCCCTTTGCGCTCCTGCTCTTTATCCTGCACTGGCTGTGGAGCTCACTGACCCCAGGTCCCGAAACCAGCAGAAAACTAAAGCACTTTAGTGCTAGTTTAGTGAGTTCAGAAGGCCACCTGGGCTAGCATGGGGAAAAGGTGAGAGCTCCAGGAGAGAAGAGGGAGTGAACAGCCCTGTCTTGCAGCGGTGAGCCATTGAATTAGTTCAGTCCCCTTGTGAAACCTCATCCAAAGCCAGTTAAACTTTGTAGGTATAGTTTTATCGTTTCCCAGACGACATATAGCTCGTCAGCAATATATAATAGGTCTTTGGTACAGTCAGTTCCTCATTATCTCTGGGGAGATTACCCATGCTGTGGATAGATGGACTGCCTCATTCAGGCATGCTGCCTCTGCAAACAGATAGACTCACGTGTCTACTAGGTATTACGGGGGCACACAGTTTTCAAAGGTCTATCATAGCTGTGCTGAACCCAGTTATAAGTCCTGCAAGATCTGGTTTGGCTTGCAGAGAACCAGCTGCAGACCACACACCAAGATATGCTTAGAGCTGGAAACAGTAATCTTGTTTGGCTGTTGCATTGTTGTTCGGGTTTTTGTTCTTTTTTCTGTTTTTTTTTTTCTTTCTCTAATTTGGATTATTTTTCCTTTTCCCTCTATTGTCCCAAGTAATAACATCAGTTTTTTAATTACAATATCTCAGAATAATGTATCCTTCAAGTATGCCAGCTTCAATTTCATCTCAATCCCGTACAAAGCCATATTGTGTTGAGTGAGTGATTCTTAGAAGTCTCAGAAGTGCAGGGCTGAAAAGGTGATGAGGCCATCATATCTGACCTCTTTGTGGAGACAGGTTTAATACATCCTGCTCATCCCTGTTAGATCTTTGTCTCTTTGCCTCTTTGGAGGTTCTTCTTAAGAACCTCCTGTGAAGGTGATCTGTGGGTAGCTGGTTCCAGGGCTGCATCAGTATGTTACTGAAAAGAGTACGCTTCAGCTGGTTAGTTTTGGGTCTTCTGTCTAAAGGCTAGATCAGAAAATGGTAATAGCTTTGTTGCTAAATCAGTAGGGTGGAATAGATCTGGCACAGAAATTTCTCCTTCCTTTAAAATTAGGAGTGGTGAATCAGTCAGTAGCTTTAATGATCAAATCTGTTTCCCCCTACCTTTGAGTACACTTTCACCTCTTTTGAGAAAAGCAGTAGTAAGTGATTCCAAGAATAATATATTTTTTTTGTCTATAGGTGTTTATGAGTTGACACACAACAATAAGACAATATCACTGAAGACGATAAATGCAGTCCAGCAAATGACTTTGTACCCAGAGTTGATTGCCAGTGTTTTATATCAAGCATCTGGTAGCGAAGTATGTGCACTTCTACTTTCTAGGCTTTCATTATGGTTGTGTACGTGTGTGTGTATGAGACTTTCTATGCTGTATACAATAAATACATGCAATTTCTGTTGAATGAATTGAGCTAAGCCTCTCACCAGGTCCAGGTTCTCCTCGATTCTGATCAGTTTCTGGCATAGGATTTTGGGGGTTTAAATGCACTAAACTTTTCTGTCTGTTATTCTTTACTTCTACAAACTGCTTAGAAATGTGTAAAGTATCTGTGCTATCCATTAAAAATAGGAAAGTTAGCTCCTTCGAAGTACAGAAGTCTGTTATAGTGGTAGCTATCTCTGCCCATTCCCATATAGATAAAAGGGAAAAACACTTTTGTCTCTTTCTGTTCTACCCAGGCTTGCTTCTGCTTACGCTGCATACTTCTGTCCTCTCTCATTTATCTTTCTTTGTTAATTATTTATTTATTTTATATATGCTTCTCTGTGTTTGGAACTGTTTTTGCCTCATCTTTACTTCTTCAAGTTCCTTTCCTACATAACTTCTTCCAGTAGTCCTGCGAACTTTATATCTCACTGCAGTATAGATTTATTAAATCTGACACATACAATGTTCTTGCTAAAGCAAATACAAAAATCATGGCACTAGCAAGCTGAGTCCTGAAGTGTGCTCTTAATTCACACTGCTTTTTTCTCCCTAAGCCCAAAATAAAAGCATGCTCAATACTTTTCTAGAGTAGGGGCTGTCTCTTACCTGTTTGTAAAGCACCTAGCACATTGTTAGCAGTATGCAAATAGTAAATAGTAATAATTTCCAGCTTCAGCTCAGTTGCCGCTATGTCTCTTCGTTTTTATTTGTAATTTCAGGAAGTTATTGAACCAGTGTATTTCTACATTGGTATAGTTTTTGGACTGCAGGGAATTTATGTGACAGCATTGTTTGTAACCAGTTGGGTTATGAGTGGGACTTGGCTGGCAGGACTGCTGACCAGGAATGCTGACTGTAGCATGGTTCATTATTAACAGGTAAGAAAAACATCTTTATACAATCTAGTTTGTCAATAAGGCATTTTAAAATATTAGAACAGATTGAAATGCTTTCTATTAAACTTTGTGCTCTCATTGTGAGAGAAAGCTCTTATGACGAATACAAAACATCTCCCAGAGATGCACTGATTCTCATTATGCTTTTATTAATGGAAAGGCCTTCTGTTGTCCAAACCATCCATGCTGCCAGTTGAACTGACTTTATGTATGTGTGTGAATACAGGAGTATTCTCACACAATTCCATTTTCCAAAAACATTCCTCAGAAGGTTTTGGTTTTGTGCTGGTGAAGAATGAAAACAAATTTCCGAAGTTGCTGTAAAACAGAATTGCTCTCTGTGGCCAGCTCTAAGTATTGTGATGGTTGTTCTTTTGCTTGGAAGGACATGACCAAGTGCATTTTTCTTGTAAAGAGTCTTTGATATTTTTTTTAATCTCCTTTTTGTAGTCGGTTTTTGTGCAAAATGGAATCTTCTTAGATGATCCTGATCTCAAGATTTCTTTATTTTAAAACGTTTCACTTGCAAGAAAATGTCCCTTCCCTTTATGAAACACCACAATAATAGGGAGCCCCATTTGGGCAATGAGAACTTGTGTTCAGGTTCTTGGTTTGTCACCAAGTAGCTCTGGGGCTTTCTGTGAACTTGAGAGCACTTGTAAGAAAAGAGCTATGGAGGAGCAAAATGTTAGAGATGTATCTTTAAAGTTGAGCTGTTGGGAAGCGTCTTTGAGGAGTGTGAAGTCATCATGACCAAATCTGTGATTAGTAGCTAAAAATATTGTTCATCAAGCTGGTGTGAACAGTGGAAAGTAGGAAAAATGGTGAATAAATCTGTATTTTTTTCAACAGCAAAGAAGATTAACACTGTTAACAAATTGAAAGGTCCAGTAGTTAAAAAAGCTCCAAATACGCCTCTGTAAGAGGCTTCAGAGGTAAAAATGAAAGGTGACGCTTTCAAATATCTAAATGATAAAGGAGCTTGAGGCTCCTTTTTAAAAGCATAGTAGACACAAAGAAGACTATGTACCTCTGAAACTGGTCAAGCCTTTGATCACATTTGAAAGTGTGACTTGTGCTTCTAAGTCACTTTAGCACTTTTTAAAACTTTCCTCTACAGCTCTAATTGTGCAGATACTGTCAAGTCATTCCATGAGAAGACCCTGCTGCTGTTCTGGCCCATGCTCCCCATCTGTCTTTAATCTCTTGTTTTGCTGGGCAGAATTTCCCTGTAAACAGAGTATCTGCTGGTGCTGCTGCTATGAGGGAGCACTACTTTGGATTCTAAGTATGCTGTGCTTGACCGCCTAAATCACTTATTTAAAACATATTGTATGAGAACTGAAAGGAGTCTTTTCTCGCAGCTATGAGCTGATTTTCATCGTAATGTGAAAAGCTGCTGTTACGGCAGCGGTCCCCTGCCTATGGACATAAGACCATTTAGCACTGCTCGTGGCCAAAGAAGGCTCCATTGTCACAGTGCAGGTTGGCGGAAGCAGTGCATGATGCGTCTGGCTCGCGCTGTGTTGTGGTGGGTCAGAAAAGGCTGGAGGCAGATGCTCTTTGGCTTCAGTCCTATAAACGCCACCTAATAAGGAGACCTGCTGAATAAATGAGTAAAGATTGGACCTTCCATGCTGATATTAAATTTGTGACCTGTATCAGCAGGGAAATTGTGCCAGTATTACTTTACAGCTAATACAGGAATAGTTTGCTTGCAAGGCCACACTGATAACTAGAAGTGACATTTAGGCTTTCCTTGATATTTTTGTTCCATAAATCTTTTAATAATTTTGTTTGTCTGTACTTTATTCTAGGACAGATACCACAAGAATTGATTACTCCATACCATCAAGGGAAAATTGGGCTTTGCCATATTTTGCATGTCAAGTAGCAGCTCTCACAGGCTATTTAAAAAAAAACCTGAATTGTTCTGCTGAGGTAAAGCAAAATTAATTTCTTAATAAAGAGTTGCTGGTAGAACTGTGCTCTAGAATTAGTTACTTCTGTCACTCTTGCCCTACTAGGCAGAAAACAGTAGATGTTTTGTTTGTTCTTTTCAAAACAGCCACTTGGATTTCACCTAGGCATGTGCAGTTTTTGCTAAGCGACTCGTGCCCTGCCCTGTTATGCCCCCCTGAGGGTTCCGAGAGAACAGTGTGGTAATGAGCTGTGTGCTATCTTTTTAAGATAAACTGATGCAGAATTTTTCTCACTTTGTAAACTATTTTGTTGCTCTTCCTGTTGCTGGGAGAAGATGGTGGTAACTTCCTTTCCCTGTCTCTCTGTCAAAGATGTTTCTTCTGATTGGTTTTAAATGTTTTTGAATGTTTCAGTAATTATTTTCTTCCATCTGAGAACACGTTAAGTAGGTCTGAAGTCAGTATTTTAATTATTTCCTAAAATAATTAATTTCTATAGTTTCTGTTTTAATGACCTCTCAGTTACTTAGTGACAGAGATGTGTAGGTATGAAATTAATGCTTTTTTTGTTCTTCTTTTTTACCTCTAGAAGTTTTGTTACCTTTTGGTGAGTGCTTCAACATACACCTTCATGATGATGTGGGAATACAGTCATTATCTCCTGTTTGTCCAGGCTGTTTCTCTTTTTCTGCTAGACAGCTTTGCCCTGGCGCAGTCAGAGAAGGTATTAGAACTCTTCAACCTACTGATAGTTGGGGACTCAAATACAGCCTCAGAGGTGCCTGCCATACATACTGCTCAGGAGCTCCAAAGGGCACAGGCTGAGTGATGACTTGAGTGTCTTGCAGCCTGGGTCTAGCTGAAGCGCATGTTATGTCCCTCGGAAGAGTAAAATGGCTTTAAACTCACTCTCTTTTGGACTACTGTGTTTGGGACAGCTTTCCTAACAAAAGGGTCAGAAGCTAAACAAAGCTTCTGAGATCTGAAACATCCTTGGAGAGCTGAAGGAGTGATGAATGATACTCAGCCATGCATCCTTTTTGGCCTACCTGCCTCTTCTTTTCCTTTCCCTATTCATAGCAGGGTGGGGCTGACCAAAAAACTGCTCTGTTGGCTCTGTGCAATTAAGGGACTCATTTTCACCCTGAATGGCCCTCCTGTACTGATTTAGTCAATAAATAGGCTAGACAGATGCTGAAGGCCAATTGATTTTTCATTATAAGAAAGTATTTGAATTTATTCTGCAAAGTGGTTCTTAGAAATGTTGCAACAATAAGGCATTTTTACTCTGCCTGTTGCAATGGTATATATGCTACTTCGTACATGTGTGCCTTCTAGTTTTATTAGATGTAACTTCTGCTTCAAATTGCATGCAATACTAATTTGTCACCTCTTCTTTCAATGGCTTTTTTTTCTGTTCCTCAGCAGTGGGAGATGTTTGATCTATTTTAGTTCAAAGCAGGGTCCTTAAAATACACGGAAGAAGATGGATGTTTTGGTAAAAGTCTAAAGAATCAAGTATCAGGGTTTACAAGATCTGCTTATCAATTAGTAAATAACAGAAAGTATCAGTAACAGTCTGTGTATTCTGGAGGTAGGTTAAAGAACAAGTTATTGTGAGGGCAAGGAAAGCGCATGTTTACAGTAGTAAGCTCTTTCACACAAATTGTGTGTTCTTATGCTGTTGCATTGTGGTTACTGCTTCATGCTGCATCACAGGGAGATGTTACAAAAGGGGGAGACCTGGTAAAATACTACTACTTTTGACATTTTTACAGAATTCTTGTAAAGTAATTGTGCACTAGTTACTGAGGCTGACCAGGATCAAACGGTACCCTGCTACATTCATGAGTTGGAGGATAGAGATCCATTAATCCCCTGATTAACAGAGGAATGGAGTGACCTACCTACCGCTCTAAAAAGCAAGACGTATATCCACTATAATTTTATTTTATTGTGTTTTATTTTGTTTCTTCAACAGGTGCATGAAGTATACAAAATCTACTTGTTTTCTCTCTTCTTGGGGTACCTTTTGCAGTTTGAAAATTCAGCCTTACTAGTGTCACCATTATTGAGTCTTGTAGCAGCTTTAATGCTCTCTAAATGCCTTCAGGTAACTAGACTCTCCTCTAACTCTGAGTGTAGCTTCTGTTATTTAAACTGAACTCCAAATGATATTTTTAAAATATTTTTGCAGATGAATATGAAAAAAGGTACATTTATGTCAAGATTGCTGAAAATAATGTACATTTATTTGGTACTTATAATAACAGTGACACTAAACTTCTTACTAAAGGTAAGATTCCTCTGTAAAAAGTTATTTTAATTGTCAAAATCTAAATGGAAAATTTCAGATGTATTTTGGAAAAATCTTTTGAAGTGTTGCTTATCTTACTGATCTGAGAGTTCATAGCTTAATTCATAGCAAATTGGAGTACTGAAGATTGAGTAATTTTTTATCTGTATGAAAAGTCTGTATCTAACAACTCAAGCAGCTGTTTTTTGTTAGGGTTTTGGTCTTTTGGGTTGAGGTTAAAGCATAGTATAGAAATACTCTTTAAATCACACTTTAGCTGTTTCATAAATGTGGTTTTTATTACAACTCTACAAACTGGCTGAATATTAAAACAATATTCTTGTGCAAGGAGAAGACCTAGTGGCCACGTACGGGTATGAGTAGTCTCAAGGTAGATGTTAATTTTCAATTAAATTTCAACTAGAGCATGGGAACAGAGACCTTCACTTAGTGTAGGAGTCAGCTAGGAGCTGAGATTACACAGTGGGATTTTAGCCTGGTCTTGTATTTTGATTAGCAACTCCCTCTCGCTGGCTCTAGCCTTTTACATAATTTATTGTGCTTTTCCTCTATGTCTCAAACTCACCCTGGTTGTGTTAATTAACAGTGTCGACTTAAAAATAAAGAACCTAGTGAACCCTAAAAAGTTTGAGAGAATGCTCAGAACTGATTGTTTTCTTGTGCCATTCGGATTGGCTAGCCTTGCTGTATCTCCAGGAAAATAAAACCTAACCTTCAAAAATATGAGTTAAATTATGTAGACAGTACACAGAACTTTTGGCTGCTCAAACAATTTATGTGAAGATTACAAATGCTCATAACTTTTGCTAAGCTGCAGTCCTATTATTTAGTGGAGCCAAATGCAATGTTCTTTGGCTTGTTTGGGGGTAAGTCTATGTCTGTTTTTCATGATCCTTTTTACACCGCTCAGTAGTCTTTTGAAAACTTGTTGACAACTTTTCACTTGCCCTCCTGTTGGGGTACATGAATGAAATTAAGGGAATGATATTCTCAAGGAAACCCTAAAGATAGATTTATTTAAGTGAAGATTTGCAGTACTACACTGGTACCTTAATTGGCACACTTAATCACATTTGTTAGTTAAAACTAAATCTTGAATAGTTGATTGTTCCCTGCCATTTTGTAATCTGAATGAAGCGACTACGTGAAAGCTGCTTCCAGCACTTGGTAAGGTTTTTCTCTGCTAAATTAATTTTCAGATGTTTGTTCCTCATAAAGAAAATGAGCATTTGCTGAAGTTCATTGAAGTAAAACTTGGCTTAAACACAACTAAGTAAGTTTTTAAATTCTTTACACCTTCTAAGATATCCGAACTTCTGAAACTGCTCTGAGAAGTATAAAATTTAAGTGGCTTGTGAGAATTTTATAGAGGAGTTAGGGAAACAGTTTCTATTTGTCGCCTGGTTTTAAGATTGAATTAAAAAAAGATGCATTTACAGAATTTACTTAGGATTTTGAGGTTTCTGAGGCACCTCAATATTTTCCATGCCTTGGGGGTGAAAGCATTTAATAGATTTTTGTTTTCTTTGATGTTGAAGAGGAAAAAACTTTCTGTACCCTATCTAGTGTTTCTAATAAGACTTGAAAGCAAACATAATAGGGTAAAGGTGGTGGTACTAACTTTTTATGGCCTGGAAAAGAAAGGGCTGTGAAAAGAGTCATGAACTATTGATACTATCTCAAAACAGGGTTAGGTTGTGGGGTTGTATTTTTGGTTTTTAAGAATAACACCCCCCCAAAAAAAACCTGTATATTTTGGAAGAATAAGGGACAGCTTAAAAGTCAGAGGGAATTGTTGTGATTCTAAGAAAAATTGTTTGCATCTGTGAGAGAGTTGAATGTTGGTCTATAAGAAGAAGACATCATGGCTACAGATTTTCTGGAAAACTTCAAATGGAGTATTGGTAAGGACTGAGATTCCTCCTGGACCCAAGCCAAGGCTTGCAATTCTGTGCAGGAATTGGGACTCTCTCCTGGGAACTGCATCTCTCTTACAAAACTACTTCACAGCCTTTCAGGGGAAGAAGCGGAAAATGACATCACACATAATTGAAATTGTTGGGGAATTTTTGGAAGACAAGATGTAATGATGTTGACTAAGATGCATTGTTTAACACACATACGTGCATGTTCTTAAGTGTTTTGCAAGAAAAGAAGGACTGCTTCTGGTCAGGATTTCAGTTTATTCAGCTACCAGGTATTATGGATTTTATTTTTTTTCCCCGGGGACTTGCTACATGTTACTTTCCAGGCTGTCAAACTCTGCAATGAACCCAGTGATTGAGACAAACTGGGTGCAACTACGCCTAGGAAATTGTGTAACTTTGGGTTGGAATTATGATTTGCAGCCCAAGAGCTTCAAGATCTGTCTTTTAAGGCCAGTTTGGACATGCTCAGCTGTTAATCTTTAAACTGATTCTGTCTAGTTGAAAGTGGTTCAGTTCTCTAGTCTTCTCTTGGGGGAAAAGAAAAAGAAAAGAGGGAGGAAAGTGAAACAAAATAAGACGAGAATGCATTCACGGCATCACATGCTGCACCAATTCCAGTTGAGAATACACATTGATAGTGCTTCTTGGCAGAGTTTATAATCTTTCTGCTCATTAATTGAGAAAGAAGAATGATCAAGTGGGTTCGGCTACAGAACTAGAATTTCAGCATTTGGCAGTGCCTCAGGCTTGTTTGTGATCTCAGATGACCACTTTCCCTTCTTCATCTCCCGGTTTGGAATGAGGACAAGCATACCTTCTTGCATCAATATCTCTAAAATCTTAATCCACTGTGACAACGAAAGTGCTTTGTGGTCCCCATAATGGAGTTACAGGGGAGGTTGGGTTTTTGTGGTATAAAAGAGTTGTAGTTTGGTCTCTTCAAATCACAGATTCTTTTTTGGAAGATAAGCTTTTGACAGTTGCTCTAAAGAGTGCTTGCAAAGCGGTTTCAAATGATAAAAAGATAACTTTTCAAAGACGAATTTCAAATAGTTTCCTATGAAATGAATAGGTTAAACTATGATTGGTTGTGTGCTGGGTTTTTTTCTAATCTGTGGGGTACTGTTATTGTTTTTAATGGGATGTTTTTGCCTTACTAGGAATTTTACAATGAATTGGCTCCTTTGTCAAGAATCTCTTCAGGCACCCTCCCAAGACTTTTTTTTGCGACTAACACAGTCATCACTGTTGCCTTTCTATATTTTAGTATTAATTATCTGCCTTTTTTCTGTAACTCAGGTCATTTTTAGGAGAATTTGGTAAGTAACTTATTTATACTGAAAAATAAGAAGTTAAAAGTAAGATGTTCATGGATGTCTAAGTGAATGGTCATGATGTTTGTTGCTCCAAAGTTTGTTGTACCATTGATCTTGCCAGGGTGTGAGCACCAGTGGAAAGGCCCATCAGAGACTCCTACAGAAAGTCCTTTAGTGACGAGGTTCTTGAGCATCCCTGCAGTCAAGACAGGCAGTTGTCATTGGTTTGTCTCCCCATAGGTGCAATTCCTGCAGAGCTCTGGCTAATGTTTTGTGATATGTTTATGTCTCTTCCCATTGCCAGGGAGAAAGATGTTTCGTCTGTTTTCCCCTTCCAACAGCAAAGTTATCTGATTGTTGCTAGAGAAGTTGTTTCTCTGTTTTGGGTTTGGGTTTTTTTTTTTTCCCAAGTTTACGTACTGTGAAGGATGAGATGGGTGGAGTTGAGAGGATTTCAGACTTCTAATGCTTCACTGCTGTGTTTGTTTTTTTTTTTTTTTTTTTTTAAAAAAAACCTCTTGTTTACTGTGATAAGGTTTGTCAGCCTTTGCTGCTCGGAACAGAGCTGAAGTAAAACTGCCTCAATTATTTTTAGTTTCACAGTGATTCACAGTTCCCTTGAGAGAAGGGGTAGTGGAGCTGTCTGTCTACAGACTAAGAATAGCAAGACTGTAGATCTTAGCGTAACTTGTCTTGGAAACTCAATGGCTAGGAAATTATCTCTTCCTGGTAGAAGATGAATGGTGTGACTGCTCAGGTATTAGGGCAAATTCCTTGCTTGTCTACAGCAAAAATCAATAGATTTTTCCAAGGACTAAGACTTCTAATAGATAAAGATTATATTGCTATAAATGAAAATGTTTGTCAAGTTGGATGTGTGATAGTATATTCAAAACAATGAAACAAATTCTTCCGATTTTTTGCTAGTAGTTGAAATAGCAATTTACTACTTTGTAATGAGCTCTGACTCCAGTATGTCCAACAGCTTTTTAAAGAAAAGTTTAAAATAAACCTTCTCCCCCCTCAATTTTTTTTTTTTTTAAAGTTTTGAAGCAGTTAATAATCTCAAATATTTTTCCATTTGTTGTGAGGAAGCTTATTATAAAATTGCAACCTGAAATCACATTGTGGTAGAATAAAATGTTGTCTATTGTGTGCGTTGCTATCTCGTTTGTAGAAAAATATTTGTTGTAAGATTTTGGTTATAATTTGTATTTATAATATATTACTGGAATTTATAATAATGTGACTAAAAACTGTTTTTGTTGTTTTACTTTGTCATAAAATGGTATACACATTCCATACACAATTATAATCCTACAGATTCCATAATTCTTCACCAAGCTAATGATATGAAGAAACTTAGTTAGAATGCATGTACAGCATGCTTCATTTAAATGTTTGCGGAGTGCGCCTGCTCTTAAATTAGACTGTCTCTTGTTGCTCAATTACCTTAAAATAGGATTTATGGTCACAGGCAGTGATCCCATTGTATTAATTCACAGCCATTGCTCCAGAGAGGTTACAGTCTAAAACAAGGGACAGCGGGTACTGATAGATCATTAATGAAGTACAAAAAAACCAAATAAGCAGTGCAACAATATTGTATGATATGACATAGTATGATCTCAGTGTACTGCTGACTTAAAGGTCATAAGAGTATTTTTATTGGCACCTTTGCCTGAGATAATGTCTGAATTAAGTGATATCTCATTTTCTCCAACTGCAGTGGTGAACCACTGAAAGAGACAGTTAAACTTGAGGATGGTCGAATTGGAGAGAGACCAGAAATAGTTTATCATGTAATTCACACAATTTTACTTGGTTGTCTAGCGATGTGTTTGGAAGGGTAAGTCTGATTTTGATGTATCTCTTTTGAAAGCAACAGAGCGTTCCTAACTGGACGTGATACACCATTCACCCCTTTGAAATTCACCCCTTTTCAAGAAATGTATTTGGCATATACTGGTACTAGTTAGTAGGGGAGACAGCAAAGATAGATAATTTCGACTATAAATTGGGTACAGGTATATGATGAACTGTGCTCGGTCTCCTTATCGTGTTTTGCAAGCTTTAATGCAGCCAAAATCAGAGATGTTAATTGAACCAAATTTTAATCACTTTCTTTATGGTATTTAAGTGTAGAACTGCACTGTAGTTCTATTAATATTGTATTTTAGTGAGATCTTGTGTAGTGTTTTGATGAACAGTGTATGTTCTGGAATATTGGGACGTGGAAGATTTCTTATCCATCTTCTTGTGTCTAGGCTAGCATGAAGTATACCTTTGCTTGACATACTAAAGCAGTAGCAAAGCTGTTTTCAAAGGTACTGCGTTAGTCTTTAAAATTACAGAAGCTAATGTTGGGAAGATGTTATTCTAATCTTGGCTCTCAGCTAAATCAGCTTGAAGGTGGCAGACTTGTGTTTGTATTACACTCATTGTCCTAAAATCCTAATATTCACAAATTCTTAAAGTGAGCAGACTATTGTGTTACCATGTAGTTGTCTTGACTTGTCTATCCTTAAGAGGCAGACGATGCCAGCAAATCATAAATTGTTTATTAAATATTTTCCTTTCCTTTCTTCAGGAACTCCCTTGTAGTACAGTGTCTGTACAGCTTTGCTGAATAGCTGCTTTTTATTCTTGCTTGGCTGGAAAACCGCAACAGCCAAGTGACTTTACTAGTCTCTTTGTTTTCTTTCATCCTCCCCTGAACTCTGTGAAGGATTTTGTCATCTTTGACCTTGGATCTTGCTCCTACATCTTGCAGCAGATAATCAGGTGCCTGCTCTTCTGCTAGAGATTTCCCTTCAGTGCCATCAAATTTGATCTCAGATTGCTTGAACATCCAGACTGTGTTTGACATATGAAAAAAATCTGAATGTTTTTATAAATAGCTTGAATACAGAGGCATGCACAGAGTCCCAACTAAGTTATTGCAATGTTTTTCAGAATGAAGTATCTGTGGACACCTTATGTTTGCATGCTTGCTGCATTTGGTGTGTGCTCTCCCGAACTTTGGATGACGCTTTTCAAGTGGCTTCGACTGAAAGCTGTGCACCCGATACTGCTGGTGAGTTGCTGTTGCCAATGTCATGGAAATTACAGCTAGCAAGCATATAGCTTTTCAAACAACAATGATCTAAGACCTGTATGGATCTCGTATAGTCTGCTTTTTCTGTATTTCATTCTTAATATCACACTTTCACCTGTTCTCTGGTACCTGGTGATAAAGTTGTGTTCACACTACAGCCTTTCCTCATAAGAAGCACAGCTGTCTTAATCTCCCTCTCTTTCACTCATCTGTTTAATTTCTTTTAACAAATATTTGAGACCTCAAGCCCTCTGTCATACTTAGTTGAGATTGGCCAAGAAGGTCAAGTGCTCTGTAGGAGGAGTGCAGGAGGAAGAGTACAGGCATGCAGACAAGCATTGATATAAGCCTTGTTTCACTAAGAAATGAGGCTAAAAATGTGGTAGATAGGTGTATTTAATTGCTGAGAGTAAAGCTGCTTCATAAGAAATGGTATGTGGAATTATTTTGCATAAGATTTGTTTATGTATGACCATTATAGAGGAGTGTTGTGATTGAAGATGAGCTTATGCTACAGTGCAAACAACTCCCCCACTTCCAACCCTACCTTTATTCTTAATATGCTGAGAGTTGCTTTGTGCAATTTTTGGCAGCTTTCTGCATTTATTTTATTAATAAAATAAGGATAGGATATTACTTACCTTAATTTTGAGAGACTTACAGGAATAAATACTTTATACTTAAACAGAGATTCACTATGTCACTTGTGAAAATGCCATATACTGTTACATCAGAAACATTGACAGTGTTCTTCCAATCAAGGAGTAACAATATGTGCATGTACACAGTAAACACATTCCTTTATATACCTCATGTTTTCTGCTGTATAGACCTGCTTTATTACTATTAACACAGTAGATGTGTTAACAACTTATTATCAAGAGAATGCCTTCTGTACCCTCCTTACCAAATGTTTCCTGTACCATGGGAGCTATTTTCTCCTTTTCGCAAAGCGAAAATTGTATCAGCTAGAATGATGGTGTGCTGAAGAATGGGTTTCTGGGTTTTGCATATCAATATTGTTAATCTGAACAAAAGCATCAACAAGATCAGAGATTTGAAATGCTTGTTTCGTACTTTTTTTCCTTTCTCAGATGATCTCATTTTCATTTGTATGTAAGAGGTGTTTACTTTTCTTCTGTTCCCTACATCATGTGCACATTGCATCATTGTTATTTGAGCAGTAATTAACCATCCCTAATATTGGTGGTAAAGTTATTGTGGGTCAAATAAGTTCTTCCATGCAAATTAGGCAAATTCTTGTTTGCAGAGAGTTTTTTGCCTGGTAGAAAACTGCGAAGTTTCACCTACTGTCACTCCAACGTTTCAGGCATAAATGTAGCCTACATTATGAGGAGAATCAACAGATAGTCCAAGGTTGGAGAATGGAGAATGGTCCATAATCCGTATCTTCTAACATGTATTTTCTAGGCTCTTATTCTGAGTATGGCAGTTCCCACAATAATTGGATTCAGCTTGTGGAAAGAGGTAAGAAAAGTATCTTTGTCTTTTTTCTTTTGTATCTAGGCACAATATGAGTCAAAATGATGAGCAAATATAATGAAATGTACTTGGTGAAATGAAATATATATGATGAAATAAAAGCTGTCATCCACTGAAAATATGTTTTGTTTAAATTTCTTTTTAAAGAAAACTGTTTACATTTTTCACTACAAGGTATTTGACAATTTAATTTGTTAACGATCACTTATTGTAACTAAGAAGTGTTTAAATTTAAATGAAGACTTTGTTATATTCAGCTGTTATGCTTTGGATATATAAACTGACTCAACAAAGAAAATACTGCCAACTAAAAACTCAGGATATTGAAAACTGTGTTGCCCCAATCTTGGTTTTAGTGAGGGGGATTGAGGTTAGATGGAAGTAAAATTATGGGAGGCCCTACGCAAAGGGCATATGAATGAAAAGCTCCCATCAAATTATGATGGAGTTAAATCCTTCGTGCAGAGCACTGTGTGGAGGTATGTATATACTACAATACAGGGAAGAAAAGCTACAGATGTTTCCATGTTTAAAATAAATACCTAGTTCTTTATTGCAAGTCACAGACAGACTTGGGGGAAGAGTATTTGGAAATTATTTTTTAAACTTCTGTAAGTGCAAAATATATGGGAAATAACCCATAAAGCATAAGCCTCTCCTATACTGACATAGCTTCAAAATAGTTAGTTTGAATAGTTTTATAAGAATTCAAATAATTATTTTTTAAAAAAGCATTCAAATATAAAAGCCAGTCTTGACCAACAGTATTTTAACAGATTTTGTAACATCTATCTTATAATAGAAATTTTGGTTGCAACATAATCTTGACTGTTTTACACGTTTCTGCCAGAGCAGTAGGTATTCTCCAGAAAAAAAGCTACAGTTGCTCAAAAGAGTTATGAAATCTATTACAATAGAGGAAACTAGTTCCGTTGACCAAATAACTCTTTTTCAGATTATTTTTTAATAAAAGCAGTGTGGGGCTTTGGGCTCTAGAGGGCTTCATCCATTGCAGATCCAGATTTTGCTTTTAAGCAGTGGTGAACAGTTTGCTCCCCAGGTTCGTAACTCATCCCTGAGCTTGGAAATTTTGACTAATAGTAACGGGACAGTACAAATGCCTTGAGGCTCTTAATCTGTTACCGTGGCTATAAATGGCTGAGTGTACAGCTCAGCATCTTTGTGCTTGGCTGCCTTCTGACTCAGTCTGGTGTAGTCCCTCATCTAACTAGATTTTTCTAAGGGCTCTGATTGATAAGTGAAGCTGGTTCTCCTGGGGGTGGCAGTAGCGGTTCCTCTTCGTGTCATCTTCTGTTCCGGGCACAATTCAGGCATATGTGTTCAGGACACTGAACACACAGTTCAGGACACTGCTACAGCTTTCAGCCCTGATACAAACATATGCCAGCTGTTCTTGTGCTACCCTAACATGTCTGGTTGTAGATTGCTATCGCTTGACAGCTGAATTGTCCAGGTGGTGGAAACTCCTCAGTTAAAAGCAGGCTCCCATTTCCAGCTGTCTATCCACTATGGCTGTCTCAAAGTAAGTTGTCCCTTTAGTCTGGCATAACCTGTAAACTTCATTCTTTTCAAAAAGAGCTGGCATCCAGTAGCTTTCACTTAGCATTTACAACAGCATGAACACGCTCCAGCCCCTCAAGGCTGGCCAGCTTCTAGTCATGCCTTCTTCACATAAAGGCTCAAAATGGCTCTAGGACTTACAAAATGGCTGAATATGAGCCGGCAGTGTGCCTAGGTGGCCAAGGCCAACGGCATCCTGGCTTGTATCAGAAATAGTATGACCAGCAGGACTAGGGAAGTGATCGTCCCCCTGTACTCGGCAGTGGTGAGGCCGCACCTCGCATACTGTGTTCAGTTTTGGGCCCCTCACTACAAGAAGGACATTGAGGTGCTGGAGCGTGTCCAGAGAAGGGCAACGAAACTGGTGAAGGGTCTAGAGAATGAGTCTTGTGAGGAGCGGCTGAGGGAACTGGGACTGTTTAGCTTGAAAAAAAGGCAGCTCAGGGGAGACCTTATCGCTCTCTACAACTACCTGAAAGGAGGTTTTAGCAAGATGGGTGTTGGTCTCTTCTCCCAAGTAACAAGCGATAGGATGAGAGGAAATGGCCTCAAGTTGCGCCAGGGGAGGCTTAGATTGGATATTAGGAAAAATTTCTTCACCGAAAGGGTTATCAAGCATTGGAACAGGCTGCCGAGGGAAGTGATGGAGTCACCATCCCTGGAGGTATTTAAAAGACGTGTAGATGTGGTGGTTAGGGACTTGGTTTAGTGGTGGACTTGGCAGTGTTAGGTTAACGGTTGGACTCAATGATCTTAAGGGTCTTTTCCAACCTAAATGATTCTGTGATTCTATGATTCTAAAATTCCCCATCTTAATAAAGGACCTGTTGTTCCTTCACCCCCCAAACCTGACAGGATAGGGAAGCTGTGGTGCAGGCTTGCGGTCTGGGCTGGTCTCAAGGAGTTGGCATTCTGTCTGATTTCCCAGAATCCCTCCTTTCCAAAATGTTTTTCAAGAGCGTAAACTGAGATATCCTACTTCATACAGTATAGTGTACTTGCCTTCACTGCAGTGATTGAAGTAAAAGTCAGAGGAAAGTCCAGGGCAGTTTACCCACATAATGCTCTTCTAGGAAATTTCTTTTCTCCTTTCCCGCTTGCACAGCACCTTTCCATCAAGTCACAACAGTCCAACCCCCCCTGCTCAAGCAGGTTTACCATGAGAGATTTGTCACCTTCTTGGTTCAGTGGCTTTATTTGTATGCATTTGCATATGAAAACCTGAACTATGGTTTTGATGTATTTAAGGCCAGTTAAAGTTGACGAATGTTGTGGCTTTTGGGTTTTTGGGGGTTTTTTTTGTTTTTTTATTATAAGTATTCTAATAAAATAGAGAGAGATGAGAACTTATGTTTAACATACTTATTTTGGAAAAGGTCTCAGGTAAGTATAAATAGTGTGTTTTGCAAAATATTCAAACAAAAATACCGATTGGGAGGGAAAACTTACATGAAAACCATTTCTGTTTTGTTATTTAAGGCCTTAATATATTGAGATGCTCTATAGATTTTTTTTTTTTTTTTTTTTAAACAGTAAGTAACCAAAAATATGTTTCCATTAGTTTTTCCCTAGGATAATGACAGAGCTTTCAGAACTACAAGAATTCTATGATCCTGATACAGTAGAACTCATGACATGGATAAAGTAAGTATGAAGTCCTACATTTCTATTTTACTTCTTTATGTCAGGGTGTTTTTACCTCAGCATTTTGTGGAGCTACCTCTATGAATCTGAGTTTTCCCTTGCTAAGTCATTACATGATGTAGGGGGAGATGGGAGGAGAAATGTGTATTTAAAGTTTGGTATTATTCCCATGGAAAGAACCAAGAATTTCTCATTGATTACAAGAGGAGAGGGTCCTGAAACACGCAAGCAAATCATGTTTAATATCATTACTAGACCTAATTTCCAAATAAAGGTGGACATCTTAGTACTTGGTTCTTCGCATGCTAACTTCTCAGTAGATTAGAGGATTCATGTTGATTGTAATTCCACGGGGGACAGAAACACTGAAATTTTTGTGTGCATGAGACAGTGAAATGAAATGCCTGAATGTGAGGATTTAGAAACTTCAGTCAAGAAACATGCAGTGTAACATGTATGATTCAAACTTCCCCTTTGACCAGAAGGCTGGAAAAGTTCTTATCTGGTTGGCTAGGCAGGGCATAGCAAATACTGACCTATGTTATATAGTTCATCCTGAGCCATATACATAGCTAATACTGAGTCAAGTTGTTTTCACAGATATATTTTTCTTCTCACCAAAAGTTTCAGAACTGGATTCTGGCCTCATTCAATGTAACTTTGAACTATGTCATTAGGAACTGCACTTCTCTCAAAGTTAGATCCCATGTGTTCAGATAACTTACTTACCTTTAACTGTATTTTTTTAGAATATTATTTTCTGTATTTATGTAGTCTTTAATGTCAACCTCTGTTCATCTTCAGAAAAGACAAGGCTGGTAATTATGGTGTTCCAGCCAATTTCTTCTTTCTGTTAATAGTAGTGTATGTTGTTTGTCAGTGCTGTAGCTCTTCAAGGCAGCAAGTGGAATAATGCCAAGTACCTAATGGTTTCTACATTAGTCTGCATATATTACACTTCAAGTACATAATTAATCATGGTGAATTGCATTGAGATTCACTCAGCTAAGAGCAATTTGACTACCCTTATTTGTAGCAGCTGTTCATATTTTTAATGAAAATATGGATTTTTTTTTTTTTTCCTTAAGGATATACTTAGATATCCATATTGGAATTTTAATTGAATGTCATTATTATAGTATATTTTCTTAAAATTTTCTCTCTGATAAAATGAATTTATCTTGAATTTTGAATTTTCTCTGCAGGAAAAGTTGCCCGAAGTCTGTAATAGTGTGATAATGACTGTTTTCTTTCACTAGTGCAGGAATACGAATAGTCAAAAGATGAAACCAAACCCAGAAACATAATTACTGTAGACATTAGATGTTATTCTGTATCATGACACTATTTACTCGTAGATGATTAAATACATGCTCCTAGAGATCAAATGAAAATAATCACAAATCTTTCCCTTACAAGATAACATCATGTTGTTTCTCCTTCTACCTACCCTCCCTCCCGAGCTTGTTTTGTCACAAGTCAGCAACCATTCAGAAAAGCAATAGTTTGATCCATTCCAGGACCGCTCTGACTGGTGCTCCATGGATTGCAAGGAGGGAGGAGAACAGCCATCAGCCCTTGCCCCAGCAGGAGACCTTCCTTGTAAACTCCATATTGCTGCAGGTCTGAGCTTTTCCTGGCAAGGAAACTACTGCCACTGCAGCATTAACACCAGTTGTAATTAGACCCCCAATGATATCTTCATGCACTCCAGTTCATACCTTAAATTATTAACCTTAGGACCTTAAAAAATTAACACAGTGTTTAAAATTAAAAACATTGTTTTGAGAAATGCATCCTGTACTCAGATGTGTATGTTGATGTTGCTTTTGCAGACGACAGGCTCCTGTGGCTGCTGTGTTTGCAGGCAGCCCACAGTTAATGGGTGTGATTAAGCTTTGTACCGGATGGATGGTGTCGAGCTTGCCTTTATATAATGATGATGATCTTCTAAAAAGAAATGAAAATGTGAGTATCCAATTCCATAAATGTGTGTGTATTATCAGTGATTTATAGACTATTCCATCAAGTAAGACTGAAGAGCCTGATTGAGATGTGTGGGAGTACTGTAAATGTTAATGCTCCAGGGAAGATGACCTTGTAACATCCCTCATGACACACTCATTTGCATTGCTCTTCTGTGCCCCCTAGGCCACCTGGCAATGCAAATTATTTGTTTGGTGCCACTCCCACTATATGTGAGCAGCATTCCAAATACCGTTAATCCCAAGTATTTACTTTGTCACTGATTTTTGCGTTGCATGAACCTGTGGATCGATGGGCTGAGGCCAACTGTATGAGATTCAACAAGGCCAAGTGCCGGGTCCTGCACTTCGGCCCCAACAACCCCATGCAGCGCTACAGGCTTGGGGAAGAGTGGCTGGAAAGCTGCCCAGAGGAAAAGGACCTGGGGGTGCTGGTTAGCAGCCAGCTGAACATGAGCCGGCAGTGTGCCCAGGTGGCCAAGGCCAATGGCATCCTGGCCTGTATCAGAAATAGTGTGGCCAGCAGGAGTAGGGAGGTGATCGTGCCCCTGTACTTGGCCCTGGTGAGGCCGCACCTTGAATACCGTGTTCAGTTTTGGGCCCCTCACTACCAGAAGGACATTGAGGTGCTGGAGCGTGTCCAGAGAAGGGCAACGAAGCTGGTGAAGGGTCTGGAGAACAAGTCTTATGAGGAGCAGCTGGGGGAACTGGGACTGTTTAGCCTGGGGAAGAGGAGGCTGAGGGGAGACCTCATCGCGCTCTACAACCACCTGAAAGGAGGTTGTAGCGAGGTGGGGGTTGGTCTCTTCTCCCAGGTAACAAGCGATAGGAGAGGTAATGGCCTCAAGTTGCACAACGGGAGGCTTATACTGGACATTAGGAAAAATGTCTTTACTGAGAGAGTGGTTAAACCTTGGAACAGGCTGCCCAAGGAAGTGATGGAGTCACCCTCCCTGGAGATATTTAAAAGACGTGTAGATGAGGCGCTTAGGGAGATGGTTTAGTGGGCATGGTGGTGTTGAGTTGATGGTTGGAGTCGATGATCTTAGAGGTCTTTTCCAACCTTAATGATTCTATGATTCTATTCTATTATTCTATGTTTTCTTAACTTACAGATTTATCAGATCTATTCAAAGAGGTCAGCAGAGGATATTTATAAGATACTCACATCTTACAAAGCCAATTTTCTGATTATTGAGGATTCGATTTGCAATGAAGTGGGACCCGTAAGAGGATGTAGAGTTAAAGATCTATTGGATATTGCTAATGGTCATGTAAGTAACAGTAAGAAAAAAATGAATGTTTGAATGCATAAATAATTCATTTAAAAAGAAATCTTCTTATAATGCTGATCTTATTTTTCTGATTGTAATTGACATGTAGACAAAGACTCATACATTTTAAAAGTGATCAATGATGTTTTGTTTTGTCCATTTCTTATACACCTGTAATCCTACCCCATACTATTTTTAACTGCCCTAATCCCTCCTAATACATTAGTATTAGTAACTGTGCTGCTTTTCTGCCAATCGTTAAATACCATTTAACTATATAAATGTTTAAGACTGTAATACCTGAAGAGATTATTACAAAAGCAGTAAAGCCCTGCCTCAGAGGGCATTCTTTACTAGCTTTAAAGATGAAATTTTAAAATGGATAAACTTAGTTCTTCTAAAACTGCCTGGGATGAGAACTAGTCTGCATTCAATTCAGGACAGCCTGTTTGGTACTGATGAGGTTACAAGTCTATTCGGTTCAGTCTCGCAGATAGGTTAGTATCCCAATAGATAGTTTAAGCCACAGCTGGTAGAAAGATTGGTTGAATAAACTGTAGAGTTATGAAGATACCCATGAATGCTACTTCAGTCATTGCCATGCTGTGTCTGCTCTGAATGCTGATAGCGCTGCTCTTGCTGCTGAAGTAGGGGATGGGGTGGAGTTTATAAAGTGATCTCATTGCCACTTGTTCATCTGCTTCCTGGGAATCCAGCAAAAGTTTTGACTTTATAAAGGCAGGAGTGGCTGTAAACTCAGTTAGGGTTTGGTTGCTTGTTCTCAGGTTAACAGGGGAGAAGGAGTCACCAGTTACTTCTAAGCAATCACAGGTTAACTTCATTTAGTTGGTTTCCTGACTAAGAAAAAGAACTTAAGCATCTATTTGACATTACAGCTTGTGTATTAACTATACCAAGTTAATCCTTGGTTTGAATGCCTTTTTTTTTTTTTTCTAATGGGGAGGATACATATGTTTCTTGTATACAGTCTTACATTCCATTCTTGGGGAAAAATCCAAGCTGTTCATCTGTGTTAGGTATTTTAGAAGCTTTACTTCTGATGGTACATGTTTCAAAAGAACTTGTAATGCAAGCATTCTATTTCTGTAGTTGCTTTTGTTTGAGTGATTATAGAGGTGATATGTTTTTAGGGGATTACTCTTTAATTTCCCCAGGAATCTACAACTGGTGTCAGTTTCACATGTAGGTTTCCTGGCCAGTTTATCCGTGGAGGATATTGTCTCTGTTTTCTATTAACTTCCTTACCATTGCTGAAATCTATCCTTTTTCTGTCTTTGCCTTAGCTGTTAAAATCATGTATGCCATGATTATTCCATGTTGTAACCAATATACTATACCATAACTGTGTGTGTGTGTGTATGTGTGTGTATGAATAACCTCCATCATAGATAATCAGCACATTATCTCTCAGTTTCTTCTCAGCTCTGTTTTTGCATGACTAAGTTCCTGTTCCCTCTTCACACTTAGGATGTCAGCTGGAACAATTAAGCACAATTTCAGGATTCCATTGCCTCATACCCCTGCGTCTCTCATCTCCGCGCTTCATGCATGCTTCTCTCTTGCACATAATCCTGATCTCATCCTAACTTCAGCAGCACAGTTTTACTGTCAGGTTTTTAAGTTTTTGTTTGATTCATGCATCAGAATGCGTTTCTTCCTCCTTTAATTCCTTACATCCAGTTATTCAGCAGTTCATCCTAAGGAACACTTCCCAGTACTTTTCAAAGCAGCTGTTGCTTGCGATGGTAATTTCAGTCAAAGGGGGGAAAAAACCATCGAAATACAGTCTCCAATGCAAGGAACCTGTCTTTGATAAGTGCCACACATAGCACTGGCAGTACACAAAACCAGTCATTTACTATTTTTGTGTGATTAGGATTGTCGAAGTGACAAGGGTTATCCTATTTAAAGTGGAGAGATTAAGAAGGGGAAAAGAAGGTTCATGATGAGAGTTTCAGTTAAAATCCGTTCTGCTGAACGTCTGTAATCTAAATCTGTAACAAAACAACTGGTATATACATTTAAATGTAGACAGCTGAGTGTTCAATATTTTTAGAAGAAGATTGGTTGGCTAGTAATGAACATCACTTATGCTTCCTGTCTGTGGCTGAGTCCGTACTGGGTTGGATGCTAAAAATGCTAGTTGTAGAAAAAATATTGGAATGGCCAACAGGAATATTTTTTTCAGAAAGTTGACATAGTTTGTTCCTGAAAGTTGATATAGTGTGTTGTCTCAGGAAGCTTTGAAACAAAACTCTCTGTTTGCTTGCTAACAAAAATTGCCTAAGTCCTATTGAAAAATTATCAAGACTTTCCAAACTAGTGGAAGCTAGTGCATATGTAGTTGGAGACTACAGCATTTACTTATTCCCAAAATAAGTGAAACAGTGGACAGGCTGTTACGCTGTTGACAGGTCTATGGATGTGCTTTCCAAATTGCTGTGTTTAAGAAGGTAAGTATTACTTTCTAGCTTGGACGATGTCCTATAATCCTAGTCAGATATCTTATTTGTGACACTGGCTGAGAGGATATGATTATTGATAGGGCAAGGCAGCAATCTGTTGCTGAAGGACTGTACCTCAGGGGAAATATCTTTGTGTTTGGTAGCCACCGATAGATTTTTCTCCATGAATTTGTCCTACAACCTTTTTTTAAACCCATGTAAACTTGAGCCATCAGAAGGAGTAGCGAAGGGATTTCTTCAAGGATATCAGATAGTAGATGCTAAAAGGCACAAGCAATTTGCTTCCAAGTCAATTGGTTGGCATTTATAGGGCGATACATGAGTGTGTGTCTTCAGTCCTTATTAGGTATGTCAAACTTAGTTGGCCTAGAAAAAGTAATTGAGAATTTCCTTTCCTACATAGGTGGTACGCTATATGCAGGTCAGGTTTGAAGTACTGGGTAAATGGGGCATGTGGATAATTTCCACTGCTGTTGTTCTTTATTGTATGAATAAAGTACACTGGTTTTAATGACTGCTATCCTGACAAAGGTATTAATCCACCAAGGTTATTTCAGATGGTTAAACAAATTATAGAGGAATATCTTTTCAGCTTATTGGAGTCATACAGTATGGAAATTAAATGTCTATCGTAAATGAAATTTACAGAATACAGAACTAAATTAAATGTACAGAATTACGTTCTGTAACGACTTACCTTCAGTATTTTAATTAGATCATCTTCTTTTCTGACAGGTGGTTTGTGAGGAAGGCGACAGTTATGCCTATTCAAAATATGGACGATTTTGTCATGAAATCAAAATGAACTATTCTCCATATGTGAATTATTTTACTCGAGTATACTGGAATAGATCCTACTTTGTATATAGAATCAACACTGTGATATCCTTCCAGTTGTGAAAAAGCATGCAAGCTTCTTTCTGAGGATTGATTGTGAATGAAATTCAGTTGGAAAAGTTCCTTTTGATCAAGGAAGTTATTTTTGCAGATACCTGTGCGCACATGTGGTGTATTGACAACTTTATTTTACCAAACTGGAATTCTTTGAACTGCAGATCAACAGACACAGATACCATCCTTGAAGGAAACGGGAAAATATGTCTATTTTACAGTCTCTACAAAGTGTGACAGTCTTCCACATTTTTGCATTTTTCTTCCCATTATAAATCATCTTAATCTTCATGTAAATGAGATTTCTAACTTCATTGTTAGAGGGCCAATGTGGGTAGACTTAGTAAATGCAGAAAAATTATTTAAAGAGCTCATTTAAGTCATATAGCTTTTATTTTCTAGCAAGAAAGCAATTGGTATCCCAAGTCTTTTCAAGTAAGTGTTTGGGTTTTTTTGTTTTTTGTTGTTTTAATTCTTCCTGTCTTCCACTGTAAACATTTCTATGTTTATCAAACACACATTCATACATCTTATGTGTAGCTATAGTGTTTGTATAAATCAAATAAGGAAGATTTTATTTAAACAACACTTCCATAGATTAAGGCACTGATCTCTACATTGTTAGAGACATGTTAGTGGAAGTGCTTGGTCTTAGACCTAGCAGTAGGAGTTGACAAGGTCAGATCTTCAGTTTGGAAAGAACTTGCCTTCAGGATTTTTCCATGTTTAAATGTGTATGTGTGTATGCATATGTGTGTCTTAGCAGCCATCAGAATGGGCCATTATACAACAGTGTGCCATACTTGTTTTTAGGCAAGTGTAGCGGGACAACTAGGTTTGCTACTGAGACTTCTGCACTTCTGTTTCACCCTCTCTGTGTGTGTGCTGATATATATGTGTATGTGTATGGGGAGGGATGGGTGACATTCATTTAATTCAACTCATTATGTGATAGTTATATTAAGATAGTGCCATAACTGTAATATAAAACACTATAATTACCACCATTAATAAATAATGGTACAGTTGTTCATAGCTATTTTTATATCAATTATGCAACTACACTGAGATCTTTGAAAATTTGGGAAAGTAGTCTGCAATCTTGCTTCCCTCTGAAGTTTGTCTTCCTTATATGACCCCCTTTGCCTCTACAACTATTTTTCTTAACAAATTATCTGTTCATCCTGTTTGTTGCTGGCTGATATACTTTTAAGAGAATGAATGATGCTTTAATTCCAACTCTGGGCCTAATCCTGGTGTTGTGAATGGAAAATCCAATAAAAGGTAATGGTAATTTTGCTTACATAGGTGTAGCTGGACAAAAAAACAGGATGTAAGTTTTGGAAGAGGTTATTCACCTGTTAGGAGTTACCCGCAGTTACTGATTCTTGTAACACCTGGCCTGAGGACCAGTCTATCAGGCATGTGGGAATGATCCTTTGGAGCCCAGATGTCTTTAATGAAGGATCTGGCGTAATAGGATTGAAAAATCTGCAAACCATTCTGCAAATGAAAGCTGCAAAATGATCCTTACCACACTTGTTGATAAAATGCAATTTAAGAGATTTTAACTCTGAAATTACTAGGAATTGCAGCATGTTGGTGTGTAAGTGTGATTCCTGTCTGCTCTATGCAGATACATTTGCTTACTTTACACTATCAGGTAGTACTGAGATTTTTGTAAAACCTATTATCACTATTGGAGTGATTTAAAAGAAGAAGGCTTTATTATTGTAAAAGTCAACATGTCTATAATCTGTTTTTTACTTTCAGTTATATTTTTAGGCCTATGAGTCTTGACAAGATGTTAAATTATGCATTTATTTGAAACCAACGTTCAGATAAATGCATCGAATATATTGGATGTGATCATTGAGAGAAACATTTATCAGTATAACCGAGTTACAAGTTAAAAGTAAATATCCTTTCCGGGGATACAGTCATCGTGTTGAGGGTAGTGTGTATGTGTGTCTCTGGCCAAATGCAGTCTGCATTTATTTGCTTATGCACAAGTGCATGTGTTTTACTGCACTGGACTATTTCGGACTTTTCAATTACTGTATAAGAACAGAAGCTAGTGTATTAACTTGAGCTATGGCAGGCCTGCAGGAACCTTCTCTGTATGTGCTAGTATGGATGTAGATGTAATATTTGGAAGTAAGTCTAGAGTTCCTTATACAATTAAGTTTGTTTGAATCATTGTCAAGGAACTATATGTCTGTCTGTCACTCATTTACTTGCCTGAATGAATAACATTTCATAACAGCAATAAGGCATTCCAGGTAGCAAACTTCAGGGTTACAACTGCACTTGGCTGGATGAAGTCGCATAGCTTACGGCTTCATGCCTTAGACTGCCATGCCAAGATGCAGTATTTAACTATCCTTGACTGCCTGCTGTGTTTTACCGCAATGCTGTATGTATGTGTTACCACATAAAATGTAGTTTGAATACTTACATATAGAGCACACATGTTAAGAAAAACACAAATGAGGCCATCTGTACATCTGAAGAAAACTATCTTGTAGCACGCTGGCCTTATACATGTTTAAACGAACATGTTGAACTTTATTTGAACTGTGACATAGTTATCATTAGTTTTGTCATAGTTTTTAAGATGTATTCTTGATACTTCGATTGATTCTGCTTTAGGAGAATCATTTAAGATTTTTACCTTGCTTTTTATATTAGAGAAAATTGTACTGCAGCACCATTGGCACAGCAGCCTTAAGTACAAGAAGGGGGAGAAACATTGCTGTTGTTCCAGTAAAAAGGCATCATTTTTAAAATGAGTGACTGGAAGAATCATATCTTACACAGAAAATTATAAGCTTGAATTTCTTATCCAGCTATGGATTAGCAAAAATATTGTTGTCTATTCTAATCTCCACCTTTTGTGAAAAAGAAACAGTAAGTTTCATGATATCCCTCAGGGCATAATTACATTGGACTTGTACACACAACCTTAGCTTGGTTTTCAGCCAGGTCACAGTTTTAACTCCCTGAAAGGGCTGGGGGAACATTTTGCAAATTTTGATCTGTTTTGCTATAGATGTTGCAATTCAGTTGAAATATGTGCCTTGCAAGCTTTTATTAAACAAACAAAAAACTCAGTTTGTGTTTCCTTTTGTGAAGATTTTTTTTTTTTTAAATTCCTGTCCCTCTGATTTCTAGAGCTTCTGTTGTGTCTTAATACCCCTGCCTCCGAGGATGCTTGTGTAGTGAGTGGTGCAGCTAGGATGTATGCCAGCCATCTAACAGCTGTTCACTGGGAAGAATGAGAATTTGCATGGCAATTTGTGTTGCTATTTTGCTGGCTTATTTCCTCCTTCACATTTCCAATTTCTGATATGCTTGATCTTCCTAAACGCAAAAAAATTACCTTGAAAGAATAAATTGAGTATAGTATTTTCAGGCACTCACCTGTTACCGTTAGACTTGTGGCTTAAAGTTTAGTCAAGCCGCAGCTAAACTGACATGTACAGTTTTGTCTTAATCTTAAAAAAATGCTCTTTCACTTCCTGAATTACCACATACTTGAACTCAGTTGATAGATTTGCCATGAGATACTTGAGACTAATTAAGTAAAGGCATTTCAGAACATAAGCTTCTATTCATATTATTTTAAAAAGTACTGGGTTTGTTTCTTCCAAAGTAAATGGAAATACAATTTAATACAATACAATCTTAAATACAATTTCCATTGTGGGGGCTAAGGAGGAGATACACAAATATGGAAGAAAGAGGGCCAAAATGTTTAACAGGCATTGAAAATTCTTCAAACTGTTTGCTCTGGTGACATTACTGTTTACGGAAAGGTAGAAGGTTAGGGACCAAATCTTGTTTTATCACCATATTTTTACTAAGTCATCTGCAAATGTCCAAATCTTGTGACCCTTCATCAGCTTTCCCATGCAATTCACATGAATAGGAGCTGCAAGATCAGGTCATAGGGATTGTAAACTGTCATTGAAAGACTTCTTAATGACTGCTGTTAAGTATGTATAATGTATCCTTTAACCAAAAATCTAACAGGAGAAAGTGTAGGCTGTTTGTGTGAATGTGTGGGCATGCCTGTTGTATTTGCATTTAGAGATGTCTGTTTTACTATTGTGATTTGAAGATGTAATGAGAGTAACTTCTATTATCGCTGATGGTGGTTGAATCTGTAAATCTCCTAAATATTGACGGGCAGGTGGACTCTAGAGTACTATGGTATTAGAGATGAAAGAAAAGCTGAGTTTGTTCCAACACAAGCAATATTTCATGAGAAATAATACCTCAGTGTAAATCTGTATAATCATGCCTTTAGTACTCTTTTTAAAACTTAACTTGGGGGGGGAAGTGAAAATTCTAAAACATGCAGTGTATGTTACTTTAGTAATCATTTCTACATCATCAGTACAGCTAAAAGAAAATATCACCATTATGTTGCTGCACTCTTACTATGCCAAATGCAGGGCTAGCAATGCCTAAACGTCTTCTGGATTGTTTGGTACCTCAACTAGATGTTTAAATGTGTAATTAATCTGGCAATGTTTTTGACTCCAGCGCAGTTAAATGTATGTCATTCTGCCTTTCAAGTGATGTTTAAGGTTACCTATTGACTTGATGGAAAAGAGGTGGGTGTTTAATGCCTTTCAAAGTTTCAAACTTTGTTACTTCAGTAATGCAGAAGAATTATTGGTGGTGCTTTACTTGTTAACAGTGACATTTAGCAGTAGTGTATATGGCATATGGACATATCCATGTGCAGGTATTTAATATCAGATCTAGGGAATCCAATTCCTTTTATCTTGTTTGTTGTCTTGGACAGTTTTTTTATCAAAATAATGTATACACAGTAAATATTTTTCTCTCGTGACAAACTTTTTCTGTGAAAAAAAAAAAAAAATTGTAATAAAAGCTAAGTCCAGAAAGTATGGATTGTTTGGGCCACATAAAAACTGTTTTATGCTTTCTTTTGAGAAGTCTGATACCCTTTCACAAAAAACATGTAGTTCATAATGAATTAACCTCCTTCCCCTGTTGCAGTAATAAAATGATTTTTATATTCTGTTGTATTATTTGCATAAGCAATTTGCAGTCAAGTGAAGACTGTACAGCGTAGCTCAAATACCTGTCTT